TGAGGTTTCCTCCTTCTCCACTGTTGTTGGCCTAAGCCGCGGTGCACGTTGACGTGTGTTGGCTCTACCTGTGTGCTGATAGTGACTATCGCGCGACCTGGTCTTGTAAACAAGATATTCTATACGTAATCGATGCCGGCGTCATCTCGAGGATCATCTGTCGCCGAGGACACGATCACTTGGGACATGTGAACACAAAGCGCCTCTCACCAAGTCGTTTCAACATAAACAGTTTGTCTGTCACATGTCACGGGACACCAAGGAAAACACCGTCATGCAAACATTACAACCTTAGATGATGATGATGATGATGATGATGATGATGATGACAAAAGACGATATCTACCATATCATTATATCTACCTCTATTTTAACTGCAGAATATCTGTTCCCTTTTAATCTCTGGCTAAAATTACAACAATCCCGTTAACTAGGGGAAGTGTAGATCCTGCTTGGTAACCATGCAGGTAGCAGAGGTACCGTGAGTCCCCTTGGTCTCTAGTATGGTGATTTTAACCTTGTTGCTGTCGATCTATAGCTCCATTTTTATATTGTATCGTACCCCAATAATCAGATATTTTTAATGTTCTACAGCTAGTTTTAAATCTCTGTGATATATTGCTAGTCCTTCGTCGACAGTTTTTTTAAATACTGTATATCTTGCTCAAGTCACATTATGGCTGAAATATTGCCGACGTGACTTTAATTTGAACTCACTCACAGCGTATCTTCTTTACCACCGTGTCCTACGTGCTGTATATATATAGATGTCATCTGGGCACATGTCGTGTTGTCGTTACGCCATACACACAGTAACTTACAACACTTTGTTTCCACACTGGATGCAAGAGGTCGACGTTCGCACATTTGGCTGATGTAAACTGATAATGTCTTGCCAGATCGGCTGTATCAGTCACCAATAATATCCCGTTACGCAGGGTCCAGTTACAAACAGTTGCCAGAGCGGCGCTCTTTATCGGTAGCGTCTGAAGTCCTTCTTCACGTGGTCGAGCTTATTGTCCGAATCCTGCTGGTTCAGGGGCCAATCAGTCTCAAATGATACATGACGTTTATCACAGGAATGCCTCACGACTCCCACGTATTCTGTCCACCATATGGTACTGCCCGGTGGCTACTGAATCCCTGGCCATAGTAAAACTTTCAAAGCATGTACAGGACAATTTTTTTAAATTTGACGCATTTGTGTTCTGGTGAACTATTGACCAGCCTGTGCGTGTGTTTGTGAGGGTTGTAACCGGTGGTGCAGGAAACGATCACATTTCGCGAACTCCTGGTACCACCGTCAACACATGGCCATGAGAGAGACGGAATCTACCCCGGATTTCTTGTAATTGTGGAAAGGATTTTGTCTCGTTTCTATGGTAACTATCAGTGCGACACTTTCCCTTCGTTTAACCCGTTGATAGGTGTTAACTTGCATTACTGAACAGCGGGATCGGTCGACTATGTGAGAAAGCAACTGCAAACTAACTTTTGAATATTAGTGATATTGTTCGTGTCAATCAATGTGTCTGTAAGTTCTCACCATGTGTCAGAACCCTGGCTGTCAATGACCCTATGTCGGCTGTTTTGCTCTAAACTGACGACCGACAGCAAGTATACCAAGATAAGATTAAGATACGACTATTTGGCATATGCACACTTAAAGTTGCTTCACTATGTCGCCCAAATATAACCAAACGTATTCGATGACATAAAACAGGTGAAAATGTAAATTTCGAAACGTGCATTTTGCCATAATGACGAATGCACAAGTAGGTCTAGACTTGCACAAAGTCCCAGAAATAAACTTATATCATTTGAAAATATAATATATTTACAAATAAATAAAATCCAAATGGAGCCCTGAACAATGCCTACAGCTGATGCAATCTGGATTTGCCAAGGAATTTGACTTGATTTTAATTAAAAATTAACCTGCGCAAAATTGATGTAAACATTAACTGAAACACCCGTTGGGGTCGCAGTAACTAAAAGCTTACAGAACAAATGCCTCGTTTGTCAGCAGTTCAGAGGCATTGGTAGCGTTTATGTTTATCAGATTGATGGAACGTTTACGGCAGACAGCGAGGAAAACTGACAGGCCTAGGAGTGGAAGATTGCGTGTGACCACGCCCATTCAATGGTGTTACTTGCGCGTTCTCCATCTTCTGAAACCGCTTCCTCCCCGCGACGACATCTGAATCGACAGCGTTATGACATCGTGTCACTCGATAGTATCAAGGCGATTGAGACATGGTATCCGAGCACGTCGTCCCAAGTGCAGTGACAACAACGCAACAACACATGGCAGATTGAATGGGTGAGAAGGGTCTGCCGTTGCCAAGTGAGGGACTTGGGGCGAGTTTTATTCTCTGATGAAAGCAGGTTTTTCCTATTTAGACCTGGTGGTCGACAAGGTCAAGGTGACGTCAAGGTGAACGTGTAGCTCCGTACAGTGTCCAGAAAGTGCGAGGGTGTGGAGGAGCAGGTGTCACAGTCTGAATCTGTGGGACTTGAAAACAAGGCGGCTTATCATTCAAGGTAACTTCATGCACAAGGGTTTTGCTGCAGTGCCTTCAACAACATTCACACCATATACTCTTCCAACAAGACAACGCTAGACCCCATTCTGCAAGACTGACGCAGGGCGTCAACAGTCACGCCGTATACCCTTCCGACAAGACAACGCTTGACCCAAAACTTCAAGACTGACGCAGGACTTCCTCAACAACATGGACATTTCTGTGTCGCCGTGACATTCATGTTATCCCGCTAGGCCTCGGCTTAGTTTGTGATAACAGGAAACGTAGCCCCTTAAAATTTACCCATAAACTAACTAGCTGCTTATCCATATTACGGTAGTTCACTGTTTGTTCAGACATATAGCCAGCACCCCGCCTGTGGCCCGTGGTATTCTGAACAAGCGTGATGCCCCAGAAGCCCCTGAGTATCTCACATGGACATGCCAGACCAAACCCTCCACCTTTAACTCCTCTCCTCGCGAGGATCACATCTATAATAATAAGAATAAGAATAATTGATTTGTAAAGCGCCTAATATCCATCGACAGTTGCTCACTGGCGCTGAGACAAGGTTAAAAAGTAATATCTATGTACATATGCCAACAATCAGGAGATTGGTGAAGAAGTGGGTTTTGAGGAGAGACTTAAATGTTTCCTTAGAAGCAGAGTTTCTCAGATTCAAAGGCAAAGCGTTCCATAACTGTGGACTGCAAAAGGAGAAGGCACGGTCAGACATAGCAGAACTATGGTCCCATTGTCGCCCTGTGTACGTGGATCTAGTTACTTACTCACTCCCTCGCCCACACCACCCACCCACTGACTCACTCTCTCACGCACCAACACTACAACCAATCTAGCAACCACTCACACGGTCACTCTCATCCACACTGCATCCCACTCTCTCATCCACACCCCCACTCACTCACCGATATCACCACCCACCCACTGACTCACTCTCTCACGCACCAACACTACAACCAATCCATCAACCAGTCACACGGTCACTCTCATCCACACTGCATCCCACTCCCTCACCCACACCACCCACCCACTGACTCACTCTCTCACGCACCAACACTACAACCAATCCATCAACCACTCACACGGTCACTCTCATCCACACTGCATCCCACTCTCTCATCCACACGCCCACTCACTCACTCTCTCACGCACCAACACTACAACCAATCCATCAACCACTCACACGGTCACTCTCATCCACACTGCATCCCACTCACTCACCCACACGCCCACTCACTCACTCTCTCACGCACCAACACTACAACCAATCCATCAACCAGTCACACGGTCACTCTCATCCACACTGCATCCCACTCCCTCACCCACACCACCCACCCACTGACTCACTCTCTCACGCACCAACACTACAACCAATCCATCAACCACTCACACGGTCACTCTCATCCACACTGCATCCCACTCTAGAACCCACACGTCCACTCTCTCACCGATATCACCACCCACCCACTCTCAAATCCACTCACTCAAACACTCACCAATCCACTCACTCATGAATAACTCAACCACCCAAACCTTACTCACCTTCACACGCTCCCACACCCACTCACTCACTCACCCATCCACTCATTCATTCATTCATTCACTCTCACTCACACTCACTAACTCTCACACACACTAACTCACCTACTCTCACTCATTCACTCTCATACACACTCACTAACTCGCCCACTCTCACTCACTCACTCACATACTCTCCAAGACCCACTCATTCACTCACATACTCTCACACACCCACTCATCACTAACTCACCCACTCACTCACTCTCTCACTCACCCACTCCCACACACTCACTCACTCACACTCACACACTCTCACACACTCACTCAAGAACTCTCACTAACTCACCCACTCTCACTCACACACAAACTCGCTCACACACAAACTCGCTCACACACAAACTCACTCACCCACCAATGAATACATAACTCCGAGCATAAGCTATCTATACCCTCTATATCCACGCCCGAACTGATTATTCAGATCACACACGAATAAATATATCCCTGCTTAACGTGTAGTCCCTGACTTCATGGCCTTCGTACCCGGGTGGTATGTGTACCTCAAGCAGTGGGCGATAGTCGATCAAGATTGTTTTTGCAACCTTCGGTTAAAAAAATTAAATCCCGTCGTATACTCACCCTAACCCTGTTTCCATGGCAAACTTGAACGTACATGGTGAAATATGGGTTATAAATGGATTTACAATAAAGTCTACTCAATAAAGTTTGAAAATCCCAGAGATGTCGCCGATATCCCGAGTGTAATATTAGTCGTCCTGTTTGTGAAATAATCCACTGTTGTTAAGTGTCGAGGTCATGTGAGTCGATTGGGAATTGAACCAAACATTGATTTCATACAATCAACACTGTGAAATTCATCTCGTTGGAGCGCTGAGAGCACGACGTCACGCGGGAAGTAAGTCACGTGACCTATGTTGTGTGGTGAGTGTTGCTATTTTGGTCCGTTAACGGAGAGGGAACAAGCATTGTGTCGGGATATCGCTGCCTGTACGTCAAGCGGGGTGCTTGTGAAGTGTTTGGACAGACGCAGGATGTGATTTACACCTTCGATACAATGGAGGAGAGGATAGTCCTAACATCATCGCCCAAACTTTATACGGGACTATAGTGGTGACTGTTCCCATGGCTGTGTAGAATCAGGTAGGCTTTGCAATCAGTGTAACCAACTTCTGTAAACTAATCTGACCTATTTTCTTACACTATCTTCGCATCCTACTACCGTGAACGCAGGGAGGTTCAAGATGCAACGTGGTCTGAAGCTGAGGTATTACCTCACGTCGCTCCCACTTTCCCCTCGGGGGTATTATGTAATGTGTTTGCTGTAGTCGGGCAATATCGCTCATATCACACTACAGTCAGGTGCTGTAGTCGGGGAATATCGCCCATATCATTCTGCAGTCAGATGATGTAAACAACAACCATGAGGTATCTTATGGTTGTGTTGGCCACGTGTAACAGTAATGGGTGGTATTTTAATGGTGTGATATTACAAAGAATTAAGTGTTGTAGAGAGGATATTTATTTGATGTGTTGACGGTGAATTTACATTGGAAATCCAAGATTAAAATTAAGAACTTCTTACAAATGTGCACGTGTTTATTTACGACGCCCTATTTCCTGCGTGAACGTGCTTGTGTATGTTTGTACAATATAAACACGCATATACCAGCCGACACCTGTGGGTCACTGGTCATCCACCATCTGCCGTCACGCGTATTTCCGATGTGACAGTGTTAACACAAGCCTCCTTTCATGTCACATTCTTAGATCATACACAGACGAACGCTTTCCTTCAGTTCCCCTGTGGTGGGTGCAATATTTGACCTGCATGTAGGAGCACGGTGACCCAATCGTGTCCCACGCCATCGCCAACCTGGTTTCACACCTGTAGCGCACACCTGTTGTGATAGCCATAGAAACCTTTGTGTTAATTGACCACATGGAGCATGAAACAAACATCATAAGTACACACCGTTAGTCCCATCAGGACGCGCGGTCACGTCAGGATATGAAGTCGAGAACGATCTGCGCTGACTAGCTAGCTTAGTTATCGTATTCCTGGGGGCAACACTCCACTGAAGCGTAGTATCCATAGGACAAACACATTGCGGTCTAATTACAATCTTGTGTCACTCTAATGAAACTGAAGAGCGACGTTAACTTTTTTTATTTAATAAAGATTTCCTATATAAACAACTTGTAGATGATGTATGCTTAAGTTTCCCATATGTGTTAACCAAAACCCAGTCACATCGCATACTGTTTAGTGTATTTGTTCTGTACTGGCTATTATATTCCAGTCGTGTCTTTGAAATGACGAAACAAAACATGTCAGTCCCAAGCCGTCAGTCTCGCACCTCGTAAAGAAAGAGCATTGACTCAAAGATGAGGCATCTTGTACCTTTGTTAGTAGACTCTATACCAGTTCGTACGTTGCATGCTACCTACGACGTCGTGGATGTAGGAGTAGGCGACGACTGTCAAGTTACAGACGTTGATGCAAGAGGCGCGTCTCACCTGTGCCCACACCTGACCCGTGAAACCCGTCAGCTCTAACGTCGTTGACGATAAAATGTTGAATCTTTCTAGTTTTAGGCACATTCATATATTGTACAGTCAACAATAGTACAGTCAGTCGGATCTGATACAACTACCTTGGCATATAGACAGAATATGACCCAAACTCGACACAACCAGCGATAGGTGCGATACAAATACTGACACAATAGACAGGTGTGATTTACATACTTATACAAATAGTGAGTGAGTGAGTTTGGTTTTACGCCGCTTTTAGCAATATTCCAGCAATATCACGGCGGGGGACACCAGAAATGGGCTTCACACATTGTACCCATGTCAGCAATCGAACCCGGGTCTTCGGCGTGACGAGCGAACGCTTTAACCACTAAGCTACCCGACCGCCCCACTTATACAAATAATCACGTGAATCTGACCGTCTTAATTACATGGATTGACCCAAACGAGCTGTATGGAGATAATAATTTGATATGGCATATTAATGACAAGGAAGAGAATATATGGATGTCAACTTCTTTGTTATGAGGATAACAACGTTTCGGAGTATGTGCTTACTCCTTCATCAGGTGGACGTAATGATAAAATAAATATTACATTTTAATAATCAGATTCGACTTATTATTTCGGCGTAAGCACATCTATATCCACAGTCTGACACAATAAATGGAGCACTTTGATCATCAAGCACATGAAACGTCTTGTCCACCTACTGGATTAATGGCAGCTCGGCGAGTGCTGTGTGTTTAGACAGGGATGTAGCCAACTCCGTCACAGACAGTGATGAGACAGGGCGAAAGTGGTGTGAGCAACCCAAGAGGGGGCTTTAGGGGTTGCTTATATAGAATTTGGGAATTTTGAGATTTGGAATAGATGCCGATGGGGTTGGATTCAGTCGTTCTGTCGTCATCTTATATTTCTGACGAATCGCTCACGGCGGTACTTCAGATGCGGGTTGGACTGTATAAATATAATCACATGGTTATAGCTACATATTCATGGCACCCTTTGTCTAAATAAAGATATATTTCAAAAGTCTAATTACCATGCAGCCATGACATGTATGTGTCTAGAATCACTCAATTGCCTGTAATTGACAGATGTTAATCCCAATCGTTAGTTCCCATTGTTACATGGTTCCTGATCGCCACCCTATGTAACGCTCTTTACTCCTCATCAATTACTGTTGTTTATGGGACAATCTGTGTCAGGAGATCTTGGCTACATCAAGAAGAGAAGGGACATTTCGTGGGAAATCGGTTCAACTGGAAGCGCTCGTTACATCTCCAACATTATCAAATATCAACTGCCGCTACTACGATGTGCTGACCTGGTCCCTGATGTTTCTTAGGGTATAATTACCTTATCAGGTAAAATTGTACAAAACGGACGCTATCGAAATGATGATGTGGCTTTCGACCGAGAACCATACATCTATCCTTTGTGTAAAATAATGTGTAACTGATCATTTTGAACACCATCAGCATGTGTAGCGCATGCGCAACGCGCGGTGTTAGTTACAGACATGTGTTACAGATAGGTCATATTGGATGCTGTCGCCGATGTTCGCTGACCGATTGTTCACACAGACAGGTAGATCTCTGTTTTTTAGTGCTCGTATAGACTGTGCGCGAGGTAAACGGTGTGATGTGGGTGAACGGCGTGAGGTGGGTTAATGGTTTAGTTGTTGATAGGCTGTCAGAGATGCATGAATGGTTACGTTGTTGATAGACGGTGTGATGTGGTTAAATAGTTTTGTTGTGGGTAGACGGTGTGATGTGGTAAAATGGTTTTGTTGTTGGTAGACTATGTGATGTGGTTAAATAGTTTTGTTGTGGGTAGACGGTGTGATGTGGTTAAATGGTTTTGTTGTTGGTAGACGGTGTGATGTGGTTAAATGGTTTTGTTATTGGTAGACGGTGTGATGTGGTTAAATAGTTTTGTTATTGGTAGACGGTGTGATGTGGTTAAATGGTTTTGTTGTTGGTAGACGGTGTGATGTGGTTAAACAGTTTTGTTGTTGGTAGACGGTGTGATGTGGTTAAATGGTTTTGTTATTGGTAGACGGTGTGATGTGGTTAAATGGTTTTGTTATTGGTAGACGGTGTGATGTGGTTAAATGGTTTTGTTGTGGGTAGACGGTGTGATGTGGTTAAATGGTTTTGTTGTTGGTAGACGGTGTGATGTGGTTAAATGGTTTTGTTGTGGATAGACGGTGTGATGTGGTTAAATGGTTTTGTTGTGGATAGACGGTGTGATGTGGTTAAATGGTTTTGTTGTTGGTAGACTATTTGATGTGGTTAAATGGTTTTGTTGTGGATAGACGGTGTGATGTGGTTAAATTGTTTTGTTGTGGATAGACGATGTGATGTGGTTAAATGGTTTTGTTGTTGGTAGACTATTTGATGTGGTTAAATGGTTTTGATGTGGATAGGCGGTGTGAGGTGGGTGAATGGTTTTGTTGTTGGTAGACGGTGTGATGTGGTTAAATTGTTTTGTTTTGGTAGACGGTGTGAGGTGGGTGAAAGGTTTTGTTGTGGATAAACAGTGTAAGGCGGTTAAATGGTTGTGGGTAGACGATGTAGTAGTGGGTAGATCATGTAGTTGTGGGTAGATCATGTAACTGTAGGTAGCCGTGGACGGACAAGGCATTGCAGTACTGCGAGGGCAGAGAAGCAAGTGGAACCTGCCACTGAAGTGTGAGAGGCATCACGCCAGACCCGAGTTCTGTCTCTGTATTCAAGGGAGCACAAGGGCAGAACTTGCGGAATGTGGTTGTATTCATGTCAGTAATTGTAAGCGTGACGGGCGTACACAGTGGGCGTGGTCCACATAACTGGCCTTCCAATGTGGCGCATATTCAGCACATTTCTCTTAATAGTCAATACATAGTCTCATATATATTTAGCTCACCCAACTCAATGACAAGTGAGTTTATTTCCTGGACTGGTTCTGCGTCAGACGTGCGCCGAGCATCGTAAACATCTTCTTGTTAGAAACCACTGGACCAACTTCACCCCTCGGCAACGTATTGGAAAAGCTATTTACGATCAATACTCGGCCATTTAAGTTCAAAGTGTAATGAAATAGGTGTATAGTACGTCTACAGTAAGTAATGGGTCTCAACGTATATGTTTCAGTTTCTTGCTATAGTCTTTACATTTTCACCTTGATCTGTCCCTTGCACAACCATACTAAATGCTGACACTTCGTATGGCCATTCCTTGGCAATCGTATTTCAAAATTTAATTGTATTTGGTACATGTGTAGGGGGACTGGTGTAAGACTGATATCTACCGGGACCCGTGTAAGATTGATATCTACCGGGACCTGTGTGAGAATGATATCTATCGGGACCTGTGTGAGACTGACATCTACCGGGACCTGTGTAAGATTGATATCTACCGGGACCTGTGAGAGACTGATATCTACAGGGACCCGTGTAAGATTGATATCTACCGGGACCTGTGTGAGAATGATATTTATCGGGACCTGTGTGAGACTGATATCTACCGGGACCTGTGTAAGACTGATATCTACCGGAACCTGTGTAAGACTGACATCTACCGGGACCTGTGTAAGATTGATATCTACCGTGACCTGTG